TGTTGGGGAATTATAAGCAAGAAGTACTTTTGAAGCAATATTTCTGGTGGCTTCTAGAATATTTCAGAAGGGAACAAAATCTGAGATTCTATCTTTAACGATCCTCTAAATTCTGTACCTTCAAACAGAAACTCACACAGTTGGTGCCTCCTGAATTTGCAGGCAATCTGAGATAACAGCTCAGTGAACTGAACCATCCTATTTCCCTCAAAACTTAATAATGGGCAACCCAGATATTGAACGATGTCAGACTAACTGAAGAGTTCGCTGAAAAATCATACATGAAAGGAGGTACAACCAGACATTTAAGCAGTCTCTTAGAATAGATGCTTTCTTTTCACAGTATGAGTGAATCACATTTGGAGAACACATTTTCCTCCTCTTGCTCTAATCTGTGGCCTGGGATGGTGAAGGAAGCAAAATGGAGAGCCCTAATGTTTCCCAAGTGTTGCTGCTAGCCAATTACTCCCACTAGTAAAGTCATGGCCAAGTCTGCCGTGGTAGGGATGGTAGGGATGGTAGGTATGAGGCTAAACAGTCCCCCTCTGAGTCTTGTACCTGCTGCTCCCTTCCCTGTTAAAGCTGGTTTGCAGAATCTGGCATCATCACTGATTCAGCTATATTTGGTTGTTGTCCGGTTTCTACTTTTCTTTACAAGCACCAGGGCTAGAATCTCCTTTTGTTTCCATAAAATCTGATGATAGTTATGTCCTTTTGCATCTGGCAACCAGAATCTTAGACACACGAGTTCCCATTAGCCAGAGCAAACCAGCCTGACATCCATTCAGAGTCATTTGCACCATCTGATGTGAATTGTTTCTATTTTGGGCAATCAATATTAACACTTCCTGTCATACAAACAGAGCTTGAGGGAGGAATCAACCATTTAGTTTTTCTACCCAAAAGCAATTGTGACATATGATGCATGAAGAAATAAAGGCACAAGACCTAGAGTACATGTCACAATTAATAGTACTGAAGCAATCAGAATATTGGCTGAAATTTATGTACTCGATATAACATACAGAACAGCCTATTTCAGTGGAAATGCCTTAGAGTGTAATCCACCATGCGTTCCTGTCACCATATTTACAGATTTATTGGTGATAATCTCAGCAACTGATCTTCACATATGTGTTTTCCAGGTAGGGTACCAAAGTGGTCTAATTTTCTGGAATGTTTCTCATTCCTACTTAGTAATCAGGCATCCCCAATACTCCAGTCATTCCATCTAAGAAAGGTAGCGCCAGCAGGCAGTTTTCCTACATATCCCTTTCTACCACTTATTTGCTGCTAATCAATATATTCCTGTAATTCTAGGTGCTTAGACTAGTCAGATAAATGATAAAAGTACATTATCATTGTTGCTTACCAGGTGGAGGTCAGAACCTGCCAGTACACCTGAACTTTAGAAAGAACATCTTCTTTCTCTAAAGCAAAGAATCCACTCAGTTTTGTGCTGCTGCTTTACTGATTTAGGGGAAGAGATATTAATCCCACGAAATACTGTACAAGTTTTGAAATACAAGGGAAATACAAAAACAAGACAGAAAAAGTGTGACATTTCCCTTTCATTTTGACAATGAGTCAACCTCACGCATATTGACAGCCTTCACATTTCCATTTGGAAGCTCAATGGCTGAGAATTTCAGTCAGGTTGCAGCAGAAAGGATGCTTGCACTCGAGCTAAGAAGGCTTGGGAGCCTTGTAGTAGTGGTTTTGGTGCATTCTATTTTTCTAAAGCACCTGATAAGCTTCAAGTAATATATAAATTGCAGAAATACAGCTTTATCTTCCAACTGTCTTTATCTTTGATGAGATCATTCTCTTCCTGATGTTGAATGTGAAGTAAACATACCTAGCTAATAAGAGTTTAAAATATTGACTTTCTACTAAGGTATTATTCTCAGAAGTTAAACAAATGGATACTCTGAAGTCTGCCCTTCATAAAAGGGCCGTATAAAGTTATGTGATATATTTACTTTGAAATTCCTAATATTCAAACTGAGCATTGAGCTTAGTATCTGGACCATTAATAAACTTCTGAGGTTCTGGGAACATTTGCATTTTAAAACAGAGTTTATATATCTGCACTGCCTGAACCCTAGCCAGGTATGGAAAATACAAGCTATATAGTTTGTAACCTCATTTGGGATATAACCATTGTAAGCAGACTTTCTTGGGTAGAGAGCACATGCATAAAACACTGAGGCATGTGAATTTATCAGACAGTACTTACTGTGAACTTTTCCAATCCTGTGGCTCCTGCATTACCAACAAATATCCCAGAGCCAGATTCAAATACCAAAGCTCGAGCTGACCTTTGAAATTGAACTCTCTGATATTCTTCACAGTCCATGAACAAAGCAACATCATTTCCCTGAACAGTCACTGTAAACTTATTCCACCTGTTAGTCATCACTGGCACTTTAAATGAAGCAGCCTCTCGGGAGATATAGGAACCAGGCTCTGTGTAGTATACAATTATTCTCTGGGTGCTGTCTTCAACCGGTGAAAGTCTCATTCCCAGGTAAATAGTTTTCTGGAAGGCATCTGTTATTGCAAATAGCACTCCTCCATGATCACTGTTTGGTTTCACTGTAACTACAATAGCAAAATCTTTATAGAAAGGCAATGGTATTATAGCACTTGTCAATCGACCGATGTTAGCATCTGGACCAAAGCTGTAAGCTGGAAACCCTCCATAGCCGGTGACAAAGTAGACGGAAGGAGGAAGAGGAACTCCTATTAACTCCGTGAGGTCAAGATGTCCTTTTGAGCCTCGTTCTGTAAAGTGTTTGAGAAAAAACGCATTATTTATTCTTGAGGTGCACAGCCCATTTAATTTAAATGATTTAAGAAAGGCCTTAAAAACTGTAATGCAGTGTTATAATACCAGTAACTTACTTTTAATAATTTAGGCCTCAGTTCAGTTAGTGCTTAAACACATCTAGCTAAGTACACGTCATTCTTTGTCCTTTGACTAACTGAGGTTACTTATATACTAAAGAAAGGCGCATGTAAATACTTGGTGAAATTGAGTGGTAACAAGTAGTTCCTGCAATGTATATTTTCCTTCAGCTGTCCATAAACTACAAAGAAAAGTGCTGAATGTGCTTGCAGAGTGGACTCAGTGAAGGTCGAGCAACCTTTTGTTTTCTCAAATAAACTGAGATCCTTTAGCCTCACAAACTAAGAAGACAGCAAGAGTTCTCTACAAACAGCATGACACAGTTTCACAAATACAGGATAAAATTTACAGTGGATTTGCTTTAGCCCTTGCAGTTACCTCCTTCTACAACAGATGTTAGATTTTATTTATGCCCTTATTCTCAGATTTATCTCCTCAGTTGCACTGTGTACATAACAAATACTATGCAGCAATCAAAATTCACTTTTGAAATGAGAGTATTTTTGCTTTAGCAAACACACAGAATTAAGTGTCGCTGCCAAACATGCCCAGAGAGAGTAAAATCAGGCAAAATAAATTAACCTTGCACTTTGCTCTGAAATCTGGCAAGCTAGTTCTGGTGAAGAGCTAGAGAGAAGTTCTTCAGCTGAAATACACTTCTGTTATTCATTATTCGTGCAGTATCATCCTAGGCTATGTGTTGCAAAGTGGTTTCCATTGTCCTAGTGGCTTTGCAAAGAAATGGTAAAATGTTCTCCCTGTGCCAAAGGTGTTATAATCCAGTTGAAATCAATTCTAATCTATCATCTTCTCTGTACTTTAGCTTCAGCACTTACTTGCTAAGGGAACTCACTAACTGGAAAAAGTCTAATGTACTCCATACAGAAACAATTTCCCTTACATATTTTTAGAAAGTATAGAAGCTATGTTTAGAAACAGAAAAACTAGCTCCTTATCCAGCAACTATTTCCCTTAGGAACTTTCAAATGCTTTGCATGATACATTTTGCCCCTTCCTAATAGTTTGAAAAGTGAACACATTTTTTTCTGGCCAAACAAATCTAATTATTTTTTGATTGTGAATCTAATATTGAGTCATGTTTTATATTCACACATACATACACATAAAGGAACCTCAACTACAAATAAAATGCATTACCCATTACTCAAGAGTAAAAAGGTAAGGAAAATAGTAAGCTTGAAGGAAAGAATATAGGATCTCTATGCAGATACTAAACCTACTTCCAAAGAGCCACGGGACAAGTGACCTAGAAAGCAGACAGACAATATCTAAGGTGGCCAGCAATCAGCTTATCAGACTTGGATAGCAGGATGCATCCCAGAAGCTAATCTAATGAATAGAACTGTAGTTTCCCACTTCCCATTCTCAAAGAAAGATTTGGCAAATGCAAAAAAGCCTGTTAATTCTCCCCACACAGCATGTGGAACTGCAGTGTACCTACAGTTTCCTAGTCACATACCAAACAGTAACATAACAGAGCCCAAAACACTCACTCTTTTAGCATAGGCTCTGAGACAAATGAAACATGATTTGCAAAAGGTGGCAGCAAAAGGCAAGTAAATAAGAATCAGGATTTTCATTTGAGTAAAAGAGGTCAGAAGGCTCAGCAAATATCTGAACTTCAGTGAGACTGTGGTAGAAGCTTGCACTTATCCACTACAGAAAAGCAAAACAAGAAGCTTCTAGCCAAATTCTGTACTTACAGCTCATCCCCAACTCTTAATGGATTTATCAGGACATACAGTTACAGTTAAGAGCAGAATATGGACTTACAGCCACAGGTTTTGTTCCTATTTAATTATCTCTGATAAATTCCTGTCTCCCTGCTGCAGTTATGTTAGAATAAAAATGCCCTCTTATTCCCTAAAATCAATAGGTAAACGCTATGCTATTTTAAGTACCTTTAAGCCAGCAAAGCACTATGTTGCATTAGCATAATTTTGTTTCAAACATGTATTGCTACTAAGCCACTGGATATTGGGGAGCATCCAGAATTTGTCCCATTTATGTCCATGTTTCCTAGACCTGGGGCACTGGAAGGTGTGGTACAGAAGCAGCTTTAATATTAGCTATATTTTATCTCAAAAAAGAAAGTAGTAGAATACCAAAAATTGGGATGGTATTTTTATAATTCTACAGTTATGAGCTGTGCTATACTTTGCATTTGTTACCATTTGTTACTGTATGTTACACTTGGAATTGCTATAGAATTTGCAGATAGCTGGAGATTCCCACTGAGTAGCTTCAGGGACCAGTTGAGAAGCATCAGTGTGTCGTAAAAATCATCCTGTAAATCAATATATGGATTGTCTCAAGACTGCAGATGACAATAGTAGAGTTTTTTTTCTTCTTTTAATTATATTTTTTTGCATGTAATTACCTCACTGCTTCAGTACTGAAAATAGTGTAACTGTAAAAACAACAAACCACCATTTTGGCGTTGGAAGATACCTGGTTTCCCTACTGTGTCTTTAGCACAGCAATCAATAACAGTGGAAGCTCAAAATGGACTGGGGAAAAAAAAGGCAGAGCTCTTTAGAAACAGATAGGAGGAGAAGGGTTTACTCATTAGACAGAAAAGGAGACCAGAAAGAAACATGATGTTGACAGTAGAAGGGCAGCAGTTGAAGAAGTTCCTAAAAACTGAGTTACTGGTATAGAAATGGCATTCATGGGAGCCATTTTGAAACTGCAGCTGTGAAGTGATAGGTATTGTGACTTAAGCCTTGGTGCTCATCTGACCCTAAATGGCGCTACTTTTCTCCAGATCACTGTCAGGTATGTGTAGCGCAAGAGAAACCCCACAAGAACTAGGCAGGGTGGAATCGCAAACCTGTGGGATCCAAAATACTTTTCCACTGCTCACAAGGGGTGAAGTACAGAGGGAAGGAAAAAACCTACCTGCTTGGAAGTCTATTACATTTGCTTTAATTGTTAAAGCACAAACTCAGTATTTATATCTGATAAATAGGAATGGAGGCAGAGGCAGAGAAAGGTGCAGATTCATATGATTTGAATTATACACATCTGTAACTTTTAGGTTAGTAGCCTTCTTTCAGATGCATTAGTTGTCTTTACAGAAAGAGTGCAGAGAGTAGCCAGTGTCATCAAAAGGCAATTTGCTCCAAGCTCACAGCTTCTAGAAGCATGTCACTCTCTCCTAATCTAGACACACAGATTTGTCTCTTACCCTTAAAGGAAATGGACCTGAGTTCAAGTACATGGATGCAGATGAAGGACATATCCAAAGGTCAGGCTGTATCTGTACTATATCATTGAGAGCAGTAGCAAAGATCCCTGAATCACTGAAAGAACATAGACGCACAAAAAATGCCTGGTCAGTTCAGGTGGGGCACAGAGCCTGGTTGGATCTACAGTTTCTGGAACCCAGAGGACTGCTCTCTGGACTGTGCAGGCGCATGACCTCATACCAGCTGCTTCCTCTGCGTGCTTTTTTCCCATGTGGAGTAGGGTAGTCCCAATGCTGGGCCTGATTCAAAACCATTGGATGATGAGGCCTCATCAGACCAGTGTCAGTCCACTGAAATTAGTGGAAAAACTCCTTGTGAATCTAGCAGGCTTTGCATCAGACTAACAGTGCCTTTAGCCCTGGATCCATGTGCTTGTTTACCCATTTTTAACAAGTGCAGATTAAGTGACCTAAGCCTTTTTACGAGTGTATGCAACTCCATTACCAAGACTGAATTTGCCTGCCTTTTTTTTTAAAATGCTACCAGGAACTTAAAGGTTTATGTTAAAAGCTATTTTAGAAATACGACTAGAATCTGGACCTTTCTTACAAATAGCAGTTATAAACCTGAGATATTCTGACACCTGGAGTGGAGTATTTGTATTTCCTGTTGTCTAACAGAGCTCATATAAAACATGCAATACCACAGCCCCTATTTCCAGCTAATACGCTGCACTTCCACACAACCTAACTTCTAAGGTGGTATAAAGTATACTAGCATACAGGCTTTAGGAAACCTACTACAACAGAGTCAAAGGCTTACTGATAAGGACACTGTTTGTCAGTGTACCTTTATCCCTGGTTTCACCACTAGAAAATGTATCAGAAGCAGATTTCAAAGGCAAGACTGCCATCTCTGACATAGACAGAATTACCCATCTCAGCCCCATTTTAAAACATACACTTCCAAAGGCCTGAGTCTGAAAAAAAGAAAATAAATATTGACGTCAAGTCCTTTGAGCAAAAGAAAATGATTAGCACTGTATAGTGAGACCAACCCATGTTGCACTACTGCAAAATAAACACACTGCTGTTCTCTTCCATGCTGTAAGAAGCAGCTTGAGCTGGACTATCTCAACTACATGAATGCAAAGACTGAAGCTGCACATAAAGGACTGTCATATTTGGCCCCAACCACTTAATTTTTAGCAGTAATATTTGTTCAGCTGATATTTTAAGGATTATCACATTTATTTCATCCATCATGTTTTTAGCTAGAAATGCCTTTTAACACAATTATTCAGGTACATCAGCTGCCACATTTAGCCAGATTCTGCTCCAGGTTAATGAACCCTAACAGGTACATAAAAGAGTCAGAAAAACATGCTCAAGCAGATGCCATTTGCTAAATGTAAGAAGCCAACCACCCTGTAGCTAAAATCATGGCAGTTGTTTTTAACTCAGTCAAGGGAGGGCTTGGATGGCTCCAGAGGTCTGGGGATGGGAGTGGGGTGGGTGCTGGCTTTTGAATGAAATTATTACTTTCTCTTTCTTTTTAATTTATAACTTAAGTTCACCTAGTGTTTCCCCCTGTTCCTCTTCAGACCCTCTTTTATCAGAGCTGCTGTCCATAATCCTGTCCCATGCTTGTAAAAGTCCATTCAC